TTCCTGTCTCATGTCATATATATCCCCCCAAAATCCCAGTGTGCCCCAGTTTATGACCTTTCTTTTCAGTAGGGGGCTTGGACTTTGAGTGAACGTTGACAGAGTGGTTTTTAAACATGTTATTCTTGAGCTAGGTCTGTAGCACAACTTTAATATCAGTACTCTGAGGTGGTGGCAAGAGGATCCCTATTAAGTTTGAGGATAGCCTGATTTACAGAGTCAGTTCCAGGCCAGTCAGGGCTATGTAGAGACCCTGTCTCAAACAACGAAAACAAAAGAAGTTATTTTTTATGTATAAGTACAGGGTAAATATAACGTAGTTGACCAAGTTTATAGTACATTTGTGCAGTTCAGATTTTGGAGGAAGAAAGAAGATGCATGTATGATTAAGGGGGGAAATGTCCTAAACCATTTCTGAGACAATGTATTTTTATTTTTTAAGTGGAGAAGCCATGTCTGGAAGCTCTACTTCAGTGCCTCTCAACCTTCCTAATACTGTTATGGTGACCCCCAGCCATAAAATTATTTTCATTGCTGCTTTATTAATGTAATTTTGTTACTGTTATCAATCATAATGTATATATCTATGTTTTTTGATGGTCTTAGGCAACTCCTGTGAAAGGGTCATTTGAACCCCCAAAGGGGTCACAGCCACAGTGAGACCTGCTGCTCTAGCTCACTTACTTTAGAGAAGAAACATCTACCAAAGTAGGTCTAGAGCTAGAGGTCTCACTAATTCTAATTCTCCAGTGGTTTGAGGACCTCATTCTTCTGCATCTCAAAACCTCAGTTCATTTGCAGATTGACTCAGATCTTAATGCTGATAGCACTGTCTCTTAATTTATATCAGCCTGCCAAATTAGTTACCTTTTTATTACTATTACTTTTTGTTGCTGTTTTTTGATCAGGGTTTCCCTATGTATCTATAACTGTCCTGGAACACTCTCTGTAGACCAGGCTGGCCTCAAACTTAGAGATTTACCCACCTTTGCTTGCCGAATGCTGGGATTAAAGGCATGTGGCTTCTTATTAAAAGCAATCTATAAAAGATTTCTGTAGATGCCTTATACAAATCAAATCTTAGTAATGAAAAATTCCATCAAAACGACTATACAAAGCCCAAAGTAGATTATTTTTTTCTTTAAAATATTCAGTATAAAGCTGACATGGTGGTATACCCTGTAAATTCAGCACACTGAGGCCAGAGAACATGATGATTGCCATGATTGAAGCCAGTTTAGGCTACAAAAGAAGATCCTGTAGTAGTAGTAGTAATAATAATAATAATAATAATAAGCTCAACGTGGTGAAAGGAAATAAAATGCACATTCATTACAGGGCGTAAAGGCTGTTTTGGCTGAAAGCTATGAAAAAATACACAAAGATCATTTGATTGGAATTGGTATAGCACCTCTTGAGTTCCTCCCAGGAGAAAATGCAGATTCCTTGGGCCTCTCTGGTAGAGAAGTATTTTCTTTATCATTTCCTGAAGAACTCTTTCCTGGAATTACATTAAATATAAAGGTAACTGAAAGATCCCCAAATGTGTTATTGCATACACTATAGTCACATGGGTGTTTGGAAGTTGAGTAAGAATTGTTGCTGATTGCTTGCTAATGTCAGTGCATGTAAGCTCCTTGCTGTTAATTTGTGTTATTAATACATCCATGTTGTCTGAGGACAGTAGAAGGAACTAGTCTTTTAAAAAAAAAAGATGCCTCGAAGGGATTTGAGACTTCATTTACATGTGCCAGGTTTTTAACTTTCTGTTTTGATCAAAATATGACCCAGGCAATGATCAATTCCAAATAAAAACAAAAGTTCAGCACTCAAGGTTGGAGTAAAATTTTATAACTAAGGGAACAAAAGAAAGGACAATAGATATTATATGTAATAGATACTTACTGTATAGTAAGTGTAAGTGGTGAGTGATGATTTCCTCGGGAGGCATAATGTAAGCCATGGTGTAGACTTGCAGAGTCTGATAGTTGCCATTTAGTATTGAGATCAAAATACCTGTTTTTCTACTTATGTCATTGGGAGGGGGTCTCAAGTTTTCAAATAGGAGAAGTGTATTGGGCAGCCAAAATTTGGGAAATTAGAATCAGGAAAATGTGGCAAGAAATCAGGTAGTGAGTGACTGAATACACATGATCTTAACCAAACAACACGTTAAGCTCTGACTCACAGGGTGTCTTTTTGTTTGTTTAAAGACGAGTACTGGAAAAGAGTTCAACGTGATTGCATCATTTGAAAACGATGTGGAGATAACTTTGTATAAACATGGAGGCTTATTAAACTTTGTGGCTCGAAAATTCTTATAGTATCTACTTGCTGTGGTATCTTTCGTGACTGGTAACTACAAAGCCTTCTGTGCTGGATCCAGGAATCATTGCCGTGGAACTGCAGATAATTTCAGTATACTTATCTCATCCATGGATGTAAATGATAATGAATCAATGTAGTGACTAAAATGAAATCTTGATTTTAAATAATATATGAATGGTGCTATTAACATTGCTAAAATCACCGTGTGAAGTGTGTTGTGGAAGAGACCTGTAAGTATGGGGGGGGATATATTTTATGAGAACATTTTGTAAATAAAGACAGAATTTGAACTTGTGTTGAAGATTCTTATGAATAGCTGTTCTAAAGCTGTTTGTTTTGTTTTGCACCTTTAAAACTGGACTACTGTTTGTTGGTTGAAGAATAGCAAGTTGAAATAGAAGAATCCAGACTAGACCCTAAAATTGTGGAAATGGGTACCTGATTTATAAGTGAATTTTTAAGTGTTTTTCTTTCCATAATTGAATTGGACACAGTTGGCATTCCTAGTTTGTAATGTAAGTCTGGTTTAGCCTTAGTGTCAGTATGTCTGCAAGGCGTAGAACATGCCTCAGATCACAGTCCGTCTGACCACTCCAGCCAAAATGTAATCCATGTCAGAAGATACATGCAAAATATAACTGATTGTGAGGTACCATGTATTAGTAAAAATATATTTCCTATAATACAGCGCTGTATTTTTTTCAGTAATTTGCCACTATGACCCTCTTGGAAGCCCAAATACTGGTATATTAATTGGGACTAGATTTTGCTCATTTTACATGTTACTGTAACTCTTGTAACCTCAAGTAGGTATCACCAACTGACATTCCACACTTCTTTTATAAATGCTGGAAACAATTTGAATCAAACTCTAGATTTTCTTTAGACTTATAAATTATCCATCAAAAATTATGGATATGTACCCCTAAGGGTTTGTTTTGTTTGTTTTGTTTTTTATTTTTTACAGTCTTTTAAGTTGACTTCTTGCTATTTGGGTCTTTATTTTATCTGAGATAAATCACTCTGTTAATTTCATTATTTCTTTTTTTAATCAAAATTGACCATAAAGATGAGACACTTGGGAGTCACTGCTGCTTGGGCGTCTGTCACATGTTTGCAGTTGCATCTGTATCTGTTACACCACCTCACAGGCTTAGTCCATGGTTAACATCCTTTTAAAAGGTGGGAAATTAATTTTAGAAAGTCCTATACCTTCTTTTAATAAGTTAAACTTAGCAGCAAAAAGTTAAGTAGTTTTTTTTTTAATTTTTTAAATTTGATCTGTTCTTGTACATTTCACAAAATGAAAAGTCTTTGTTTTAGGCTAAACTTAGGAACTACCGAACCAGTGGGTGAAGAGTACTGAGAACTTCACTGGTGGTCAGTTGTACAGTCTTTTGAAAGTATTTTTCAACTATGTACTGAGTTGGACTAGAGTTTGGCAAAACTAGCCCCTTTAGTAAGTGCTTTCTGTGCTACTTTGAAACCATACTGTGTTCTGGTAGATGCCCTGTGTCTGTCTGCATGTGTGTTAATCTGTGGAAGCCTGAATCAAGAATGGAGAATTTACAAGTTGAGTATTAAAATACTGGTACATGCTTTGAAAAAATGAGAATTCCAGATGTATATATGGAACATTTTCTGTCATATTTTGAAGGCATACTCAGTCTGTAGTCTGAGCTACAGCTCTGGACATAAATGTCTGAAAAGTGGTAAACTTGCTATGAATCAGACATTAATTATTAATCAAACGTTTCCACTTCAGTAATGGCATAGAAATTGCATTTTAGGAACAAATTGAAGGTTCTCTTAATCTCTCACCTAGAAACAGTGAGCTAAACTCTGGATAAGCATGGTTTTAAACATGGGACCAAAATCAAGTACATGTCCCATTGTGTGTATCTTGTGATTCTCTGCCTCCAGCCAAATAATGCAAAAATGTGGCACCTGTTTTTATTGTGTTACTTTCTTTGTTGACTCTTTAAGTTGTTTTCTAAAAATTACCAATATTTGGAGAAAGAAAGTGAACACAAAAAAGCAAATCAGTATTTTGAATGTAGCACAGTTACCGACAGCAGCATTTTAGTCTCTTAAGAACGTTGTGCTCCATGCTGTTGTGTGCCTTAGTTGAGCTGCCCATACAAATGAAGGAAAGGAAAGGCCCCCAGCCACTGGACTGCCATTGTTAGTTATTCCTTCGTGGTTCCCAAGATGGCAGGCACCTCTGTTAGTACACAGATGAGAGCACAGCTTCTCCTCACCACACTGCTTGGATTTTCACTGGGATTGTACTAAAAGTGTAAAGCTAAGAGCTCGGCCAGAGTCAGTTACCTGCTTACATGGTAGCGATGTGGTGTTCATTCCTCTTCTCCATGGTAAGTGACAGGATGAGAAAAGCTGACATTTTTCAGGACCTTTTTACTTTGAGTCTAGAGAGAAGATGCTAAGCCACTGGATAATGATATTGTATTTGATTTGGGAGGTAAAAACCAGGGAAGGAACTGAACGTTGGCTTTTTTTTTAGTGGAGTGTTTTCCCCTTCAAGGTGACTGTGCTGATTTGTTTTGGTTTTGTTTGTTTTATCAACTTTATGCATAATATGTGAGTAAAACCATATATATCTCTTCAGTAACTATAAATCATTGTTATTTAAAGCCAACAAAATAGCATAACAGTTTGAAGTTCAATAATGTTAAGTACTGTATAGAAATATATTGGAGGTAAAGTTCAGTTATGAAATTGTGTATATGTTATTGATGCTGTAAATTATTTTTAATAAAGAAAATTGTATTATCACTTGTGACTCATGTATTTTATAGTAACTCAGAATAAAGCATGACTTAAATGGAATGCTATCCAGAAATCTCTCATCAAATATGTTCTTTAATGTTCATTCCCAACATAACAGCCAGGGTGGTTAATCTCACACTATATCTCTTAAGTTCCTTTCTATGCTAAGATTAATGAGAATAAAAGTCTGACATATGGTTAGTATCCACTTAAGAAACAGTAAATGACTTTCATTCCAGGAGTATCACAATGGATAGTCAAGTTATGGAGTCAGTGTAGTATGAAAGAGTAATCTGACCTAAATCAGGGTCTTCTGTACAAACACAAGTCAGGCAAGTTAACATTCAAGTGATGGAGAGTGTCTTACCAGGTAATCCGTTCTGACACTGAAGTTTAGATGTTTAAAAACTATATTTCTCTAGGTTTAGTGTTGCATACCTATAATTTCTGTGCTTAGGAGGCTGAGGCAGGATTGTTTGAGTTGAAAGCCAGTCTGAGCTAAATCCAAGGATACTGTGTTAAACACCTTGTCTCCATTTTTTTTTTCTCCAAACCGAAGTCTCCTGTTTCTCACTGATTCTCTTTCTCCCTAGTCTGTCTGATCCTCATTTGTGTGGCACGTTTACCTGTTTGCTAAATTGAAATCTACTAGAAACGGCATATCGCCTTCATACTCTGTCTTTTGTTATGGTCATTGTTAACATTTAGGACGGCATTGGAGAGCTCAGTGATATGGATTGTGTGTTACAGGAGGAGACGGCCTTGGTGTAGGATAGTGGTGCTGTATGTCTGGGGCCTTCACACTATAGGTCCTGCTGATGATGTCATTCACTCCTTTGCTGCAATTTCATTGATTGCTTTTCCAAAGCAATTCATGCCTAGCCTGGAGCTAGGACCACAGCTCTCCTAAAGTAAGTTTTGTCAGCTCCTATGATTGGAAAGGACAGTCCAAGAGTTGGGGGGGTTAGGCATTGGTAGGTTACATGCCTAGCAGGCTCAAGGATTTGGATTCAAATCCCTCCGTTGCAAAAAAAAAAAAAAAAATAAGCTCTTTTCTACTTAGGTTGCTTACAGCAACCTAAGAGGTTAAAGTTTGTAAAACTTGGCATCCAAAGGATAAAAAGGTGACAATGTCAGATACTAGGAAAGTGTCACAAAAGCAAATAGGTATATCCTGATCGTTTGAATGTCCAGACTTCATACCGACAGCAGCCTTGGTACATTCATCACCTGATACCAATTTTGCTTCCTAATTATAAGTTACTGCTAGCCTTACTGTTTTAATGAATGTTGTTGGGATAAAGTCTTACAACTGCTAGACTAGGTTCAGGATAGGGTCAGCCCACATAACATTTTAGTGACAGACCACACATATCTGGTTCCATGCATTAACATTTGCACAGTGAGATTGCCAAAGGATATATTTCACAGAACATGTCCCATCAGCAGCATATATATTAATACTTGAAAAATAGGTCATGTACTTAAAAAGCAGATGTATATGTTATCCTCGCTGTCTGCTCAGATGGCAGCTGAATTTTATGTATCCATTGTGTTGGCACTAAACTTTGAACATCAGTATAGGAAATACAAAACTACAAGATAGAACCAGGGAGATGGCTCAGTGGGTAAAGGGTGCCTGCTTGACAAGCCTGGCCCTGCAGCTTCCATCTCCAGAGCCATGTAAAGGCAAGGGAAAGAACCCACTCCACAAAGCTGTCTCTGGCCACAAAGGTGTGCTGTGACATATGTTCCTCCCCATGCTCATATGCTTACATAAAATATTTTTAGTATTTTTTTGTAAATTACAAGATGATTATGCTTTCTAGGACACTTTTTTGGGGGGAGGGGGTTCGAGAGAGGGTTTCTCTGTGTAGCCCTGGCTGTCCTGGAACTCACTCTGTAGACCAGGCTGGCCTCAAACTCAGAAATCCGCCTGCCTCTGCCTCCCAAATGCTGGGATTAAAGGTGTGCGCCACCACTGCCCAGCTGTCCGCCACCACTGCCCAGCAACACTTTTTTTTAAAAAAAAAATTGGATATTTTATTTACATTTCAAATGTTATCTCCTTTCCTGGTCCCCCCCCAAAAAAAAACTATTCCATCCCCTGTCCCCGTGCTTCTATGAGGATGTTCCTCCACCCACCTACCCACCTCTACCTCCCTGCCCTGAGATTTTCCTACTAGAACATGTTTTATGGTGAGGTTGAACCCAAGGAGTTATACATTGAGCCCTGACACTGAGCCCTACCAATGCAAGATTGTGTATCTAATCTCTGCAAATTGTTTTTGTTTCACATTGGATATATATTCAACGTTGAGAGGAAAAACTGATTTGGCACTACAGATTGAGAACCTTAAAAGAACAGTTCATCCTAAAGAATTTGAAGTACATAAAACCTGGTCACGGTGTTGTACACATATCAGCACTTGGAGGTGGTATTAGGACGAAGAGTGCAGCCTGGTCTACATGAGGCAATCTAGACCTAAAACTTAACATGTATAAAAAGTTTATGTAAAAAGACATCATTAAAAATAGGAGAAAGTTTACTTAGAGTGAAAATGGCAAGTTACAGAAAGCATTTTTTTCTCTCCTTTGCAAAAGGGTTACCGTATGTAGCCCAGGCTGGCTGCCCTGAACTCAGAATCCTGCTTCAACCTCTCAAGTGCTAGCATTACACACCTATCACTGTACCATGCAATATAGTTCCGAAAAGCATCCAGGGATGTCTGAGGAAATGGCTCATTGGGTAAGAGTACTTGCTGCCCAAACATGAAGACCTGAGTTCAGATCCACAGAACCCATATTTAAAAATAAAAAAACAAAAAACAGATTAATAGCTGTGTATGTTTCTGCCACCCTCTTGCTGGGTCAGGGAGTGATGAGACAAAAGGATCACTGGAGCTTTCTCACTGCCAGCCCAACTGAAGAAAATGAATTCCAAGTGAGAGACCCTGTCTCAAGAGGGGAAAAAAAGCACAGGTCTTCCGTGGAGTTCCAGGACAGCCAGGGCTACACAGAGAAAGTCTGTCTCAAACCTCTGCACCTCCCCTCAACCCCCCACCCCCACAAAAAAAAGAAAAGAAAAAGAAACATCTGTCTAAAGGGAGGATTTTTCATTATGATAGGTATTGATGGGCATTGGAGAGACTATCCAAGTTAATAATCAGAGTAACTATCGAACCCATGAGTGTGCCAGGACAGGAAAAAACATATGAGATATGCATACAGCAAAAGAACATAAGGAGACCAAATTGCAAATCGGAGTGACAGGTATACAGGACTCTTCCAGCAGAGAGTGCTCTGGACTATCAGAGAAGTACTCCTTAGCTGGAGGACATCCAGCTATATGGCCTAGTGTGGTGGTTTGAATACGCTTGGCCCAGGGAGTGGTGCTATTTGGAGGTGTAGCCTTGCTGGAGTAGCTGTGGCCTTGTTGGAGGAAGTGTGTCACTCTGGGGTATGGGCTTTGAGACCCTCCTAGCTGCCTGAGGATGCCTGTTTTTTTCCTGTTTACCTTTGGAACAAGGTGCAGAAAGCTCCCCCAGCAAAATGCCTGCTGTGCTCCCATCTTGATAATGGAATGAACCTCTGAACATGTAAGCCAGTCCCAATTAAATGTTGTCCCTTACAACCTTGCCTTGGTCATGGTGTCTACACAGCAGTGAAACTCTAAGACACCTAGTGTCCTTCAAAATTAACATTATCCAACTAATTACCTTGTCTCAGAACCCCAGACAAGTTCCTGAGCACGTTCTCATTGTCAGAACTACCTAAATCCTAAATAAGGATTCTAACTCA